GAAGCAGAACTAGGAGAGGAATGAAGGATGGCCAGCCTGAAACCTTACCCAGGATGGAATCCATGCCCTCCCCATACCAGGAGGAACTCACCAGTGGGAGAAGGGGGCAGAAGGGTTGGAGGGATGTTCTAGGGTGAAAAATCCAGAAGTGTTGAGGGAAGTTCCGGGGTTAAAGGCAGCTAAGGAATGTTGGCAAAGTCCAGACAGCCAGAAACAAAACTTGAAGAGGAATGAAGGATGGATGGCATGGGCCCATTCCCAAAATGGAGACTTTAGGAGGAATGAACTCACCAGTGGGAAAAGGGGACAACGGGGGCAGAGACACAGTGGTAATATCTGGAGAGTGAGAAGTGGAGCTGGGAAGTAAATGAAAGATGGCCAGCCTGGGTCCTTCCCCCATATGAAGGCCAGGATCCGTGTTGATCTTTTCTGTAATTGTAGTAGACTCCTCTTCCCTGCATTGCCCTCACCCCACCCCTGCCAAAGAGAAAGAAAAGCTCCAAGAGTCTCCATATACTCAATAGATAGCAAGAGAGAGGAGGAAGAGTGAGAGTGGACGCTGTCTCTTCCTTTTAAGTCTATTGAGTGGTCACTCAACTCAGTGACCAATTCTCTTTGACTCAGCTTTCTCCTTCTGTCATCAAAAGGACCAAGGGATTGCTATATTGCTCCAAAGTCCTCCAGAGCTGTGCTTATGTCTTCAGAAGTGGAGCTCAGTTCAGCTCAATGCATCCTGCATGAGGTGTGCCCCATCCCATTACAGTGAGAATTTGAAGTCAAACCTTGTGAATACCCTGACCTTCAGTCCTTCAGCTCCAAAACTTGAAATGTCTTCACCCACATTCTCCTTTTTCTATCTAGTATCACCAGATAATGTTGCCTCCTCCCTTACCAAGGCCAATCCTTCTACTTGTACTTTATTCTACCAACTCCTATCTGCTCTGGGTCTCTGTTTCATCAGTCATTTCCTCTCTCTCATACCCAGTCTCTCTTTCTTTACTAGCTCCTCTGCCTGTAAGAGGCAGCTAGGTGGTGAAGTGAATAGAGTGCCAGGCTTGGAGTTAGGAAGACCTGGTCTCAGGCACTTAATAGCCAAGTGACCCTGGGCAAGTCACTTAACCCTATTTGCCTCAGTTTCCTCATCTTTAAAATGATCTGGAGAAGGAAATGGCAAACCACTCCAGTATCTTTGCCAAGAAAACATCAAACATGACTGAAATGACTGAAACCTTTTTTGGCTCATCTTGCCATGACTTTGTAGTCCAAGACAGACATAGTCCTTCCTTGCCCCTTGTCCAAGACAGTACTATTGTCCTTGTTACTATTTGGGGTCCTTAGTTCTTGCATGACACATAGTAGGTGCTTAATAAATGCTTATTGACGACTGATTTAATAAATGCTTCTCGAATTGAAATGCTTCACTGTTTCCTGCTGTTTGGCTCTGTTTAAAGGTAGTCCAATACTCTGTTTGCCATTGTCCACCTGTACTTTTCCCGGAAGCACACTAATCATTCTACAAATGCTTTCTGGTTCTTGATGTTTCTCCTCTAGGAGACTGGCAGCTCTTGAACAGATGAACCTTGGAAAGATTACCTGGAATCCCTACTAGCAGTTTTTACCTCCTTCATGCTCTAGGTTATCGATTTCATCTCTTCTTTCACACTGAGTCCCACCTTACTAACAAAGGACTTCTCAGGTGCTGAAGGAGCTACCTTGACTACCTTGGCTGAAGTTTCATTTCCCATTTTTTGCCATACTAGAGTGAATCCATTTACTTTCTCCATCACCCAGTATCTGGGAGGTATAACCTCTTGCCCACACCAGTACCTCTCATTGATAATTTAGGGTACCAAAGGCTTCTCAAGTTCTCTTTCCATTTACTGTTCCATTTTCTTCTTCTAGGGTAAGTTGGCAAGGCCAAAAAAATTAGCCTGGTGCTGCTTTGAGAAAACACTAGCAGAGGGAGGGGCAACCCTGTCCCTGGACAGCTGGCAAGGATTCAAATTCCCACTACATAAGCGTTCTCAGGGCTCCTCTATCTTAAAAAAACAAAAACAAAGCAAAGACCTTTCCCTTGACCTTGTTACCTGTCTTAAGCCCCTCTGGCTACTGTTCTATTGCTTTCCCCCCCTTCACTTTTAAAATTCTGGAAAGAATCCTGTAGTCTCATTGCTTTTACTTCCTTACCACCCACTTACTGGTCAGCTTAAAATCTGGCTTCCACCTCTAGTTCCATCCATTCCACCTCCACAATATGTTTGAGACCTTCTCCATCCACACTACTAACATCCTACTTTCAGTCCTCATGACCACTCACCTGGACTATATTAATAGTCTCCTAATTATTATTCCTACTGCCAATCCCTCTCATCCCTAAACTATCCTTCCTATAACTGGTAGAACAATCTTCCTAATGAAAAGGACTGAGCATGGAAATCCCTTGTTTTAAAAACAAACAAACAAACAAGCAAAAAACAACTTTCCATAACTCCTATAGAAGTTAAAAATATAGGAGAAAAAACAAAATCTTTAGTCTGGTATTCAGTACTACCCTCTGACTCCAACTCATTTTTCCAGACATATTTCACATTGCTCTCCTTTTGACCTTCTAATATGTCACAAATTTGTTTGGTTTTCTTCTTTTCTTCATACAATCATGGTGGAGATCCCCCATGCCTAGAATGTACTCTTTCTACATTTCTACCGATTGAAAGCCTTCTTATCCTTCAACCCCCACTATTTTCTCCATGAAGCCTTCCATGATTATGTCTCCCCTTCCCACTTGTCCAACTTACACATTGCTACTTTCTGTGCACTCTACAATCCAGTTGTAACAGGTCACTTTGCTCTTCCTCACACCTGACACTCTATCCTGTGCATTTGTATTAACTGTCCCCCATGCTTGGAATGCTCTGTCTTCTCACTTACGACCACTAGCATTTTTGGTTTCCTATAGGACTCAGTTCAAAACCCACCTTCTGCAGAAGATCTTTAATATTATCCAGGTTAGGATATGTAATTGGATAGACAACCCACAGAGCTAGTCCACCATTGCAAGCGTCTTTGACAGATATTGTCAATGGACATTGACTTGGATTAAGGAATGAATAGAAGGGGAAAAAAAGTGGGTTGGATTATCTTTGGAAAGCTGAGTAGTTTTAATGACCCCAAACTTCTCTCTGAAATAAGGGTCCCTCTTTTATAACCAATATTCTTCCAGTGATGTTCTAAGACTATGAATCATAGAACACTAAATATTTCCAAGGAACTAAATCTATAGGTCACTCAAAAGGCAATGGAGAAATTCAAAGGGAACATGAGTTATTGGCAAAACATTATAAGTGAAAAACTATGCAAGAAAAATGACTTAATGGATGTCAGCAGAACTGTATAATCTAAAATAAAGATGGACATCATGTGAGTAGGAAGGATAACCAATGCATGACCAACACGCTCCATTACTATCCACACCTAGAAAAAGATCCCCAGAATACTGGGTGAAACCTCTCCCTCCTTCTCTACCTTGCTAAAGGATTATAGGAGGTCGTGGACAAAATTCTCACAGAATGTTTAATATGGATTGACTGCAATCTGCACCACTGGAGGACGTACCCACAGATCCTTGGAAGTATAAAAATATCAAATTAGTTTAGTGCTACTTTTTCCTCTCCCCTGTCAAGTTTGACTAGGATTTGAGTGATTGTATATTTTCACATCTAATGAGTTATATACATCCTTTGCCTGAAGCCAAATATCACTCTACATATTTGAAAAAAACCAGAGGCAAAGGGACAGCTCAAAAGCTTTTCCAGTATTATTAACTAATTAACAGGCAGAGAAGTGGTTGAAAAGGAAAAATTGTTACAAAGTATTTGTTCTCCCTCTTTGAACTCTCCTAATTGATGGAGAAGCTTTTATTTAATTGTGAAGCCAAATCACTTTATGTAACATTACTAAAGATTCAGTTGAAAGAAATGCATTTCCTTTTGTAGCATGAGGTCATTCTGATGTGTTAGAGCAGTCAGTGTTCATCTGAAAGAGAGCAGATACCGAGGCTTGGGTGGATTCAGAATCACCAGTAAAAGCAGAGGCTTTTTAAAAAGCATGTCACAGAGTTGAGTTTCATCTCACTTGAAAAATCTATGAAATTTGCAGCATTATAGAAGTTTTGAACTATCCATCTTTCAGGGCCCTCTTCCATGTAGTCTTCCTTGACTTTCCAGCCAGTAGTGTGCTCTCTCTCTCCTCCCTCTCCCCTCCCTCCCTCCCCCTCTCTCTCTCTCTCTCTCTCTCTCTCCCCCTTCTATCTCTCCATCTTCCCATATCCCCTGACTTTACTCTCTCCTTTGTCTGTCTCTGTCTGCCTTTTTCCCTTGACTGGGTCTTCATGTCTTGCCCAAGTTGGAACTATAGCAACTGCCCATGAATGCATCTCATTGCAGCTCAGCCCAGTGACTGAGTAGTCCTCTGTTTCTGACCTGAGCTAGTTCACCCTTCCTTAGACAGACTGATACCTCCCCCACGCCTGCTTCCAGGGTCTCATTGGTGCCAGGCTCCATACAGACACCTGCTCAGCTTAGCCCACTGTAGCTCAGAGCTCCTGAGCTCAAACAGTCCACCAGCTTCAGCCTCCCTGGTAACAAGGATTACAGGTGTGCTCACCATACCTGAGCATCAATGGTCTTGAGCTATTTTCTTTGTATGTCTCTTTTGCACATTCGTAATCAGTTTTATATTTACTTGTGTACAAGTCTTGTGCTTTCTGTTAGACTGCAAGGTCCTTGAGGGCAAGTTCTGAGCCCTAAAAAAACAACAACTTTGTTTCTCCCTCAGTGCACAGATTGGTACTCCTATGGAATAGACCTTTTATAAGTATTTGTTGAATGGAATTGAATTGAGCCTACAAAGCTTGTCTTTGTCTCTCACAGGCATATTACATATTCTGATGAGTTTTTCTCAGCTGCAGAAGTTATAGATGTTCACTTAGAAAATTCAGCAGTAATCAGAGGATTAATTTTCCCATATGCTCTTGTTATGACTTCTCATGAAAATTTCCAGACAAGATCCAAGATGGTGAGTGTATTTTTAGGCACTGGTGTGTATCTATCTAGTTTCACTTGAGAAAGCATCTGGTGTCAGCAGCACAAGGTGAGAACCAGCTCAGATGCCTAGCCAAAGAGCAGAGAGAGTAGTTATGCGATTATCATCTGGTAACAATAATGTTTGGGATAAGGATTGGAACTGTGGTTTCATTGATAGAAGGAAAGAACTTCCTGGTGAGGAAAAGTCTTTTTTCCAATGCAAGTTGGCACCTTCTCTATAACTTACAGTCTTTTTTGGGGGGGGAGGGGTAGGCAATGGGGTTAAGTGACTTGCCCAGGGTCACACAGCTACTAAGTGTTATGTGTCTGAGGCCAGATTTGAACTCAGATCCTCCTGAATCCAGAGCTGGTGCTCTATCCACTGTGCCACCTAGCTGCTCCCAATAACTTACAGTCTTAAGAGTGTTGTACACATCCCTGAGAGGTTAAATAAATCCAAGGTCACCCAGCCAGTATATGTAAGAGACTGGTATTGAACCCAGGGCTTCCTGAGCCTCAGGGCCATTTCCTATCCTTTTGCCATGCTGCTTCTTAATGATGATGACAACAATAACAATACCATAGTTCACATTTATAGCACTTTAAAGGTTTAGAAAAAAGCTTTTTTCCAGTTTTCAGATGAAGAAATTGAAGTTATCTGTAGTCATATGAAGAAATGCTCTAAATCACTATTGATTAGAGAATTGCAAATTAAAACAACTCTGAGGTACCACCCTACACCTATCAGATTGGCCAATATGACAAAACAGGAAAATGATGAATGTTGGAGAAGATGTGGGAAAATTGGAACAATAATGCATTGTTGGTGGAGTTATGAATTGATCCGACCATTCTGGAAAGCAATTGGGAACTATGCCCAAAGGGCAATAAAACTACATGAACCCTCTGCTCCAGTAATACCACTAGTAGTCTGTATCCCAAAGAGATCACAAAAAATGGGAAAAGGACCTGCATGTACCAAAATATTTATAGCAGGTCTTTTTGTGGTGGCAAAGAATTGGAAAGTAAGAGGATGCCCATCAATTGGAGAATGGCTAAACAAGTTGTGGTGCATGAATGTAATGGAATACTATTGTTCTATAAGAAATGATGAGCAGGCAGATTTCAGAAAAACCTGGAAAGACTTGTATGGACTGATGCTGAGTGAAGTGAGCAAAACTAGGAGAACATTGTACACAGTAACAGCAACATTGTGTGATGACCAACTTTGATAGACTTAGCTCTTATCATCAATACAGTGATTTAAGTCAATTCCAAAAGATTCATGATGGAAAATGCTATCCACATGCAGAGAAAGAACTATGGAATCTGAATACAGATTGAGGCATACTATTTTCTCTTTCCCATGGTTTTCCCCTTTTGTTCTGATTCTTCTTTTATGACATGACTAATGTGGAAATATGTTTAAGATGATTATACATGTATAGCCTATATCAGATTGCATGCCATCTTGGGAAGGGAGGAGAGGATGGAGGGGGAAAATTTTACAACTCAAAATCTTATAAAAGTAACTGTTGAAAACTAAAGTAAAATAAATAAATGAATTTAAAAAAGAAAAAAAGAAAAGAAAAAGTTCTTTTCCTCACAACAAACCTGAAAAGCAGATAGTAAAAGAAACTGGTGGGATCTGAGTCTAGGTCATCCTGAGTCCAGCGCTATTCACAATGACATGCTGCCTTTGTGCCTCTGGGAGAGGTACCCTTTATTTTACAGAATATGTGTTTATCCACAAAACAGGTTCACCTCTTTATTTCTCTAACAGCGAGGTGGAGTAGCAGATAGAGTGCCGGGCCTGGAATGAGGAAGGCCTGAGTTTAAATCTGGCCTCACCTACTTCTGAGCTGTGTGACCCTGGGCAAATCACTTAACCTCTGTTTGCCTCAGTTTCCTCATCTGTAAAATAAGGATGATAATAATCACACCTACCTCCCAGGATTGTTGTGAGGATCAAATTGTAAATAATTTAGCAAAGCGCCTGCCCTGCCCATGCTATTTAAATCTTAGCTATTGTTATTAATATTATTGTTATTATTATTATTATCTTTCATTATTAAATTAGAAACACATTCACACAGAGGAAAAAAAAATCCTCTCCTTCAAAGTAAGTTGAAAATATTTACCAAAGACACATTTAAGATAGTGGCCAATCCCACTGAGTGTTGGTATTATAGTTTCTGGAAATTTTTTTTGTGTTTTCAGCCTGCCTTCTTCAGCATGAATCCCTTCTTCCCTACAGAGAGAAAGGTCAAAGTCATTATTATTTTTTCAGTATTCTACCTTCCCTCCAAAAAACTCAAAGCTTTATTCTGAGAACTTTCAACTTGTAACACAAGCGCTAAAGTTATAAGGAGAAAAGAGGAAAGGGATGGAATTAGAAAAGAAGTAAGGGAAAGAATGTGGAATAGACCATGATTAATTAATGTCCCTGTCAAATCGCACAGAATCTGAGTCTCTGGGCCCGCCTGCTTTTTCTCAGAGCTGGCTTCTTGAATTCTCATGTACCCACTGTGACCTGATCATCTTGAAAGTATTCCTCTCAGTGGGAACTTTTTTTTTTCCTGCTACTGTAATGGTCAGAATTTATATTACTAAAACTACTTTAAAAATGGTTTTGCATTCTTGTTGCTATTAGAGCTAAATAGTGCAGCAGATAGAGCACTGGGCCTAGAGTTAAAAAGATCTGAGTTCAAATGTGACCTTTGACACTTACTAGCTACGTAATTCTGTATGTCACTTAACCTGTCTCAATTTCCTCAACTGTAAAATGGAGATCCTAATAGCATCTACCTCCTAAGGTTTCTGTGAGGAATAAATGAGGTAATATTTGTAAACTGCTTAGTGCCTGGCATATAGTAGGCACTATATAAATATTATTATTATTATAATATAATACAATTTTATATAATAATTATCATAAATATCATCTCTATCATCCTTATCATCATTATTATGATCAAATGAAAGAATGTTTGTAAAGTGGTTTACAGAATGCCAATAAGTGGTTTATAAATTCTAACTATTATTATTATTGTCAGGATCAAATAAGAGAATATTTGCAAAATACTTAGACGAGCACCTGGAATATAATAGGCACTATATCAATGCTAATTGTTATTGTTATTATTATTATTAATAGTATCAAATGGGAGAATATTTGTAAAGTACTTAGCATAGTACCTGGCACATAGTAGATGCTAAAAAAAATGCTAGGTATTATCATTATTATGGGACATCTAGGTGGTGCAGTGGATAGAGCACTGGGCCTGAAGTCAAGAAGACTCATCTTCCTGAGTTCAAATCTGGCCTCAGATACTTAGCAGCTGTGTGGCCCTGGTAAGGCACTTAACCTTATTTGCCTCAGTTTCCTCATCTGTAAAATGAGCTGGAGAAAGAAAAGGCAAACCACTCCAGTATCTTTGCAAAGAAAACTTCAAATGGAGTCATGAAGAGTCAGACACAACTAAACAACAACAGTCATTATTATTATTATTATTAGGATCAAATGATAAAATATTTGTGAAGTGCTTAGAATGATGCCTAGCACATAGCAGGCACTATATAAATGCTAGTTATTATTTTTATTAGGATCAAATGAGAGAATATTTGTAAAATGCTTAGCACAGTACCTGGAACATAGTAGGTACTTAATAAATGCTTGTTCCATTCCCCCCCCCCCCCACCTTTGGATTAAGTTTGTGTTACCATTGCCTAGCACTTAGGAGATGGTCAATAAATACTTTTTGACTTGACTTGCCCTCCTTTCCAAAGTACCATAATAATTTCTAAAAGGAAATGATTTTGGAGATTTCTGCAATTGGATTTTAGCTGCTTGCCAACCTAACCAATTGAGTAACAGCCAGTCACCAACGAACACTGTGGTTTTCTCTTATCTTCTTAAATTGTGGGAAGATGATTTGGGTTACTTGCAAAATAGATGATACACAACAGACAAGTTGACCTCCGTTTCTGTTTTTTAGCCCAGTAAACCTCTTCTCTCTGTGCTGCCAGTCACCACAGCAGCGATGGAACCAAATGGCAGCTTCAGGGGTACCAGGGAGAACTGCACAGTGGATGACTTCAAGAGAAATTTTTATCCCGCAGTCTACCTGGTTGTATTTGTCGTGGGGGCCTTGGGAAATGGCTTTTCCATATTCATTCTCCTGCAACCGACTAAAAAGTCCAAATCGGTGAATGTGTTCATGCTGAACTTGGCCATTTCAGACTTGCTGTTTGTGTGCACGCTACCCTTCAGAGCTGACTATTACCTTCGAGGCTCTCATTGGGTGTTTGGAGATGCAGCCTGCAGGATCATGTCCTATTCCTTCTACGTCAACATGTACATCAGTGTTTACTTCCTGACTGCCTTGAGTGTTGTCCGTTTCCTGGCTACCGTCTGTCCCTTCAGGTTCCTGCACGTGACCAGCCTCAAGACCACCTGGGGCCTGTGTGCGGCCATCTGGGTCTTCATCATGGCCCCCTCTGCCCTGCTCCTGAGCGGTGGAACAACCAACAATGAAAAGCGGGCCACCTGTTTAGAATTAAACTCCAGCAAGATCACCAGGTTAAGGATCCTGAACCACACTGTGATGGTAGTGGGCTTTGTCTTGCCCTTCTTCACTTTGGCCATCTGCTATGTGCTGATTATCAAGACCCTGCTCAAGGTCAAGGCTCCAAAGTCTGGAGCCCGAATCTCTCACAAGAAGGCGCTGGTCACGGTTACGGTCTCCGTGATTCTCTTCGTGCTGTGTTTCCTGCCCTATCACGTACTGAGGACAGTCCACCTAACGCAGTGGAGGGAGGGCAAGTGCAGTGAACGGCTACACAAGGCTGTCATCATCACCATGGCCTTGGCAGCATCAAACAGTTGCCTTGACCCTTTGCTCTACTATTTTGCTGGAGAAAATTTTAAGCAGAGACTAAAAGCAGTATTCAAAAGGGGAAAGAAAGAAATGCACCAGTCTTATTTGTACATGGCTAAACAAACAACGCATAAGTAAGAGATTTTTATTTTTTAAAGAATATTTTTCCTATGCTTGTCATTATTTGTACACATTTCCCATACTACCTTGCATTTATGACATCACACGGACAACAAAAAACCATGCACGTTGACTGTGATTTGGTTTTTGTAGCATTTAAAAACATGTCCTTAAGGCATGCTCTAAGTGGTCAAATCTGAAAGACTGATTTGGCAGAAATAATTTGGGTGAAAGATATTTTTTCCTGGGGCAAAAATGGTTGGTTAAGGCTGATGTTTGTTTTTTCCTTTCCCCTTTGATAAAAAGGAAAATTCATTGGAGAGGGAATGGGGAGTGGAGGGTATATCCAGAAATAACTGCAAAGTAAAAAAAACCCAAACACTTTTAAAAAGAAACAGTTGTAGGATGAATGGGATGTAACACTGGTATGGTTGGCATTGTGGGGGCAGTCATGCCAGCAGAGGTGGTTCAGCCTTCTTGACCACAGGGGTTAGGAAAGAAGGGGAGCCCTAGGAGAATGGCACCACAAGAATGGGACTCTGAAGGTCATGACCCCAATATAACCTGCAGAGGATTGTTAGGTGAACTGTAGGGAAAGAAGTGGGTCCACCTCCTAAAAATGGGGAGGAGGGTTACCAACTTTTGGATATTGGTGCCCTGGGACAAAGCCTTACAGAAAGTTGTACTTAAAGTCAGGAAGAATTGAATTCTAATCTTGTCTTGGACTCTTAGTAGCTGTGTGACCCTGGGCAACAATCTTAACCTCTGTCAGCCTCAGTTTCTCCATCTGTAAAATGAGGGATAATAATAGCACCTCGTGGTCTGTTTTGAGGATCAAGCTAAGGAGTTAACAAACATTTTTTTAAATGCTAACAATTAGAGGTAGATAGCAGGTTCCTATGGCAGCTAGATGCTACTGTGGATAGAGCTCTGGGTCTGGGGTCAGGAAGACCTGAGTCCAAATGAGGCCTTAGACACTTACTAGCCACGTGACCCTGGGCAAGTCACTTAACCTTGTTTGCTTCAGTTTCCTTATCTGTAAAATGAGCTGGAGAAGGAAATGGCAAAATCCCTCCAGTACCTTTGCCAAGAAAACCCCAAATGGGGTCACCAAGAGTTGAATATGACTGAACAACAACACAAAGAGCTTACTGTGCTAAGATCAGGATCAAATGAGATAATATATGTAAAGTGCTTTGCAAACATTAAAGTGCTATATAAATGTCAGCTATTATTAATTATTATTATTCACTCTGCTGGTTATGGCTCTATTATATGCTTACACACACATATACACTTGGTATAGGACTATTTGTATGTCTATATCTGGCCACTGTGACAAATAGGCCAATCAGACCTGTCAAATTTCAAAGAGACTCTTAGAGCCATTTAAAATCACCAGGATTGCTTAGATTCTTAAAATCTAGCCACTGCTCAGATTTTTTACAGTCTAGCCAATAGCCCACAGATGCTCAGATTCCTTAAGAGTCTGGCCAATATGGCAGATCTTCAATAAACCTTGTTTTTGATTGAAAAAAAAATCACCAGGATTATTGACTATACTTTATGGTGTCATGGAAAGAATACTGGATTTAGAATAGGAAGACTTGGGTGTGGATCTTAGTCTTGCCGCTAGCTGTGGGAACTTAGAGGAAGCCAGTGGGATGGACCTTAAATTGAGACCTGAACTCAAATTTTCTCTAGTATTTGCTAGTGATGTGACCATGGATAAGTGACATGACCCTTTTGAATTTTAGATTCTTCATCTGTGAGATGGAAATGAAAAAGCCTCTGGTAACTACCTCATGGGGTTTTTGTGAGGCTCAAATGAGTCTTGTATATAAGAAGCTATGCAGACCTTAAAAATGACATATAATATCAGCTATTGTTATCATCGAGCTGTCATTTAACCACTTTAAACCTCTGTTTCTTGCTCAGTTGGAAAGGGGTAGTACTTTGGTGCCTTGAAGCTCAGGGATTCTTCAATCCCATTCTTTACAGCGGGCCCTACAAAAAGGCATTCGGACAAATGGAGTAAACGAATCCTTCCCATGTAGAAACTAACTCTGGCTGTCTTTGTCTGCCTTCATCATGACTCAAAGCCAAGTTCTCATATTTCAGAACACCTCTTTCAAAGGGGGCAATTCAGTTGGTTTGATTGTTCCTAAGAGTTTGTACTTTGAGGAAGGACTGGTTTGTCTGTTAACAGATAAGTGCTCCTATCAAGGGGGATTTCTCATGAGTTATGCCAGATACAAACTTGACATTTTCAGAGAAATGTCCATATGTAAATGGACAGGAAACTCAGCTAAAATGTAAATGGCTACTCGCATTAAAATCACAATTTTAATATCGTTTAAATTTTATTAGGAAAGGACACTAGAGAGAGGACTTTTAAGCCCCTGCTCTGGTGTTAACTAGCTATGTAAGTTACTTAACCTCTCTATAGGCCTTAATTTCCTCATATGTAAAATAAGGTCCTTCCCAGCTCTAAAATTCTATATTCATTAGATTATGATATTCAATAAAAACTTTCTCATTTCAATTAGGCTTGCCTGGTACAGTAGGAGTAACAGACAGCTATATGACACAGCGGATAGAGCTCTGGACTTGAAGTCAGGAAGCCCTCAGTTCAAATTTAGACTTGGGTACTTCTTAGCTGTGTGACTTTGGATGAGTCACTTAACCTCTACCTGTAAAATCTATTCTGTAAAATAAGGATAACAATAGCACCTACCTCTCAGGTAGGTGAGGATAAAATGAGGCAATATTTGTGAAGAGTTTATGAATTGTAAAATGCTAGTTGTTATTATGCTAGTTATATAATTGCTAATTATTATTATGGCATACTGGATTTGGAGTCAGAGAGCCAGGTTCAAATCTTGCCTGTGTCAATTACTAGCTAAGTGACCCTCAAAACTCATTCTGCCTTTTTGGACTTTAATTTCCTCTGGCCACTTTCTTGTGAGGCAGTATAGTGCAGTGGAAAGTGTGCTGGATTGGAGTTAGACGACATGACCTCAAATCCAGGCTATGCCATTTACTATCACTATCACCTTGGACCGGTCACTTACTTTCTCTAGTCCTTAGTTTCCTCATTTGTAAAATGAAGGGATTGGACTCAATGATATCTAAGGTCCTTTCCCTCTCTCCATCATACTTAACATAGAAATATTGTAATCACGAATATATTTCCCTAATGTTTCCTCTTTTCTCCTTACCTCACCATTCAAAGGACTCAAAACCAATTGTGACTCTTCTGGAAAAAAAAAATGTTCCTTTTATTCAAAGTCTTCTTTAGCAACTCCAATGAATGAAATGACAAAAATACCAAATACCCACACGCTAAATTTTGGTTATGAGTTTGAAAATGTTTGAAAGGATTTCCAAAACTAGACACACAATTGAATCTTTAACACCACCACAGATAAAACTGAGCTAGGTTCTGCAATGGGCCATTTTGCAAGTTCTCTGGCACTATCTTGCTGGTTCCATCGTGATCAGTGGCTTATATCTTTTGCAGCCATCACTTGCTGTTAAAGAGATGTCCCTGGGTTGGTGACAGAAAGAGGAGCAAAGATGTACAAGGAACAGCACTTGGACATCCCATACTCAGAACTTAGCCACACCACTGGGTTGAATAAACCACTGGGTATTTCCACTGGGTATTTAAGAAAGGGCTGGAATAGTGATAAACTGCTGTTGTTATCACAACTGGCCATCGTTCTGTGTCACTTCGGTGACCTTTCATGTGACTGTAAAAAAAGCGTGTGCTCAGAGTAATTTCCTGTTCAGTTGGTCACCACAGTCAAGGCAGTCATGGAGCCTGGGCTCCTTTCTCTTTATGTCACTTTTCAGTGCCTTACTCTAATATTTCTATGCTAGAGTATGCATTTTCATAACATATTCAAACTTGTAACCAAGGGGTTGTGTGTGTGTGTGTGTGTGTGTGTGTGTGTGTGTGTGTCAATCAATTGGTCAGTCAATAAACACTCATTAAATATTTATTATGTGCCAGGCCAGGCACTGTGCTAAGAGCTGGGGATACAAAAAGAGGCAAAAGACAGTCCCTGCCCTCAAGGAGCTCAGAGTCTAATGGTGAATGTGAGAAAATCCTGTCACCTGGAGCCTCTGAACACTCTAGGAAATTTTTTGAGTTCCTTATGTATGATACAGTATACATGCTATATTTATTTTAAATAAATAAAGACTTTTAGTTTAAATCCTTGCTATTTTTATTATTGAATTTTGCCATAATGTTCCAACATCATAAAATATTGTGAAGGTTATAGAATTGGCTTAACACCTGCTCTGTCTTTTTTTTGAACTATGAGTCTCTATTGGTATCCATTCCTGCCTTTCTCTCCTGGCTATAGTAGTGTTAGATTCATTCCTCTTGTCAGCCCATGCTAAGCTCAACGCGCCATAGCCTCCCAAGCAAAGGAGATGCTGCCTTTTCCCTTCTGCATCATGGCAACAGGTCTTGACATTCCATCAAGACCCAGCACAGAGACAAGTGGGTGTTCTCAGTGGCTCTGCTGAGAACTTGGTCTGAATTCAAAGAATGCCACCCTTCTGTAAGAGCTGCTTAATCAGGAACCTTAAGAAAATATTATTGGTTTCTTCAAGTCTGGGGAGGGAGATCGATTGAGGAAACTCAGCTCTTCTAAGACCAGTTTCAATCCCAGCCCAAGCCCATCATCAAAGCTGTGAAAAACAATTGTTGTCCCAAGGCAAGGGTTGACCACTGTATCCTGTCTGTACTTCAGATTAAAACTCTTGAATGTTACCATCCATCAGAATCTTTAACCTTTCACTATAGTATGTGTGACTTCCTTCATCACAAAGTGAAGAGGTCTGTGTCAAGGAGAGACAGGATAGGAAATTGGAATGAATCCTGGCTTTGGAACCAGAAGACTCAGGTTGGAATCCCACAGCTGCTACTCATTACCTTTAACCTTGGGCCAATTTTCTAATCTTTCTGGAATCAGTCTTCTCATCTGTTTAAATGAGGGAGT